TGTGTGTGTGTGTGTGTGTGTCCCAGATTTTTCCCCGCACTCTAAACCCGGGAACCACAAAAGCTAGGCGGCTAATTTAGTAGAGTGTTCCCCGCCAACGCGTAACCCAGCAAATGTAAATTCAGCCTTCTCGTACCCGCGGATGATACGTACAGCCTCATTAAAGTTTTGACGGGTAAAATCATAATTTCGAGAATCACGAGAGCTAGAGACCTGAAATTTTATGGGTATGTCTCTTCCAACATGCGACCCAGAAAACTTAAATTCCACCTTCCCATGACCACGGATAACACACACGGCCCCATAAAAGTTTTGGTGGGTAAAATTATAATCACCGGAACCACAAAAGCTAAGAAGCCAAAGGTTTGAAGGAATGTTCCCCACTCACGTGCAACTCCGCAAATTCAAATCCAGCCTCCCTGTACCCGAGGGTAATATATACGGCCCGTGAAAACTTTAGCAAGTAGATTATTATCTCGGGAACCACGGAATCCAGGGAGCTGAAATTTTACCTTGTAAATTCAAATTCAGCGTTTCTACGCTCTCGGGTATCACCTGCGGCCCTGTGAATATTTCGGCGGGTAAATTATTATCTCAGGAACAACAAAAGCCAGAAAGCTGAAATTTTACGGTAATGTCCTCCACATACAATCCCGCAGAATTTAAACTCAGCTTCTCCGCACGCCCGAATGTCACTTGCATCCCCATGAAAGTTTCGAGGAGGAAAATTATCTTGGGAACCGCGCAAGTTGGGAATCTGAAATTTTAGGGTGATATCTTCTACCAACGTACGACTCCGCAAATTTGGACTCAGCCTTCACGCACCTCTGGGTACCACGTACGGCACCGCGAGAGTTTTGGTAGGGAAATTACTATCTAGTGAACTCGAACTCAGTTCCTAAGTATGCTGAGGTCTCACGCATGACCACATGAAAGTTTTATCTCCAAGATCATTCGAAAGCCTGAAAATTAGGAGACTGAAATTGTGGAACGATACTCACCCCCTCGAGGTTCCAAATCCAGCTTTCACGTGGCGTTGCGTGAAATCTTTGACTATTTTTCAACATTTCAATTATTTTTGCATAGCCCAAAGTGCATAGCAGTGGAAATCATTAACAGGTAATCGTTCGGTGGACGGGATTGCACAAAACGCGTGATCACTCCGGCTGCTGTGGTGCATGCCGCTATTTATTTTTAATCCGTTCCGTACGTCGACCGAGTGGCCAGTCGAAGCACGACGATCCCGTATCGCCCAAGCTTTTCGCCGCCTGTTGGTATTCCGGAGCTTGGACTGGAATGGCGCTGTGAAGATTAATAGCGAGCAACTAAATCATTTAGGCTTCGCGGATGAAATATTTCTCATTGCCAACAGCAATCACGACGTAAGTGAAGTGCGGCTGGGGCTTAACGCAAATAAGTCCGAAAATTAACGCATCGAAGACGGTGATACATAGTACGAGTATACTTACGGTACGGCTGCAGATAGACGGTATTAACGCGGAAAAAGTTGACATCAGTGGCTTTGTTGAACAAGAAATAAATATCCGCCGTAATTTCCAGCGGAAGACTGCGTGTCGACGAGCTGGCTATTGCCGTAAAATTTCAAAGCACTGATGTCGCATTAAGTGTAGAACCGCAAGTACCGTGCTCACCTTTTTGGGGGGCACTAACGTCTGCATGCGTTACTTGTCACCAAAGAAAGTCGAAACGCAAGCATTGGCTAAAAAAAGAGGTCCAGACTGGAACGCATTAGGTCTGCCAATGTAATCGTGCGTTTTTGTACTAGACTGGAAGCAATCAGATCGCTAACTGAGTGAGTGGTTGTTGCTTTACATTTACTTTGTGCGCTCAGTACAAATCATCATATATTTTGCATAAGTGAAAATGAACAACTTTCGTTTAATCTTCGCTTTTATGCTTTTTCGCTGCGCAGCGCTATAGCGCTGCTACAGTGAGCAAGAAGGCATGTTGTCGAGAGGTCGCCTGTGTGTGTACATTCGAAAGCGAGTGAATTTTGTCATCCACAGCAACGAACAAAGCTGGAAGGCTGAAATTTTGTGGTCATGTTACCGTCCCATGTGTCATTCTCCCGTTTCAAAATCTTGGCTCATAAGCGCCTAGATCTTGAGTATGGATTCCCGGAAAAAATATGCAGATTTCTTTGGCGAGGAACGATTTCGTGATCCAGATAACGTAGAAAGCTAAAACTTTGCAGGGATATTCCTTGTGCGTGTACAAGCTAAAAATTTCAACTGCTATCGCGCACATTTAAACCAGAGTACAGTCACGTAAAATCTTACAGTTGGCACTGTGCTAACTCGAAAACTATTAGGAAAAGAGTAGCTGGAATTTTGTCAGAACATTTGTTGTTCATATAGAAAATCGTACACCTAAACTGAGTTTCGACTTGCATTTACGCCACTACTTAGGGCACTTTAAACATATTTGTAGCGAAGTGGCTATTTTGCTTACCGGACAAGCTGTGGTAAGCAAAATGAAAATTCACAAGGATATTCTATATCCACTTATGGTCTTAATTCAGCTTGGAAGTGAAATTTCGTGGGCGCGAATATAACAAATACTCAATTTTATCGAAAACTCAAAGGCGAGTGCATTTTACGGACTTCGAAATCCTCTTCCGATCTCCTTCAAATTTTTTCAGTGAACAAGCACTCACCGAAAAAACGATCGGGCTTCACCTACAAACTGATAAGCACGTAAACTAGAGATCCACGCGGCCCCATAACACAGCACCTTCTCCCAGCCAACAACCTTCCCTCCTACATGCGGGAAGAGGCCAAAACACAGCCAATATTTGTTCAAGTATTAAACTACAGCGCAGAAACCACTTCTGCTACCAATGATCTATAAGTTTAATGCAAAAACACATGATCGCACCCGCAAGTCTGGTACGTTGCAGTCTAGGGTTTGAAAATGACCAAGAGCTGTCCAGTGAGCAATTCCCCGTCAAAACTTTTATGTGCCCGTATTTAAAAATACATATCTGGGGACTAAATTTGAAATGTTAAAGTTGTACATGGCTGGGAATATCCCTTAAAATTTCAGCCTCCCAGCTTCTCTGGTTCCTGAGTTGACCATTCTACGGAGTGCCACGCATACCTGGAGGTTGAATTTGAAATCTTGTACGTGGACGGAGAACATCCCCTTAAAAATTCAGCTTTCCACCTTATTTGGCTCCTGAGATCGCCTCCCCGTCAAAAAATTTGCATATTTTTTAAGGGGTTCGTACGTGGGAGGCAGATAATACCAAAATGGGAGGACCACACAAGAGGTGGACACATCCTCCTAAAGTTTCAGCTTCCTAGCATTTCTGCCTCTCGAGTTGAAAGTTGGTAACAAAAGGTGCGAACACCTAGACACAGACATAAACACAAACACACGCACACACAGCCTTCTGCCAATATGCGTTTTCGCTCACTGTAGCAACCCTACTAGCGCTGCACGGCAAAACGCATAAAAATCAGACTTTTTATGCGTTTTTGCATATATGTAAATTGCAAAACCGCATATTGGGAAGAGGCTGTCTTTGTGTGTGTGTGTGTGTGTGT